GTGTGCAAAAAATAATAGGGTCCATGTTATGGCTTGTATTCTGAAGTCCACCCAACCCACTAGTCTTGAGGTACTAAGCTACCGCCAGAGCTACTGTACCCATGCTGCTCTTTTTAGTACACTATCTTGAGTCCCTTTTGTGTGAATCTGTCTACCTGGGCAAGGAAACTTGCTCCCATGTTCAGTGCAGACATATCCATGGAGGTTGCATGACTCTGCAGGACCCCACAGAGGTCCTATGTAGTCATCAGACACCTGTGCACTAATTTCCTTAAGGACAGCATTGGCCTGCATAGGCCTCCTTAGTAAAAAAGAAGTACAGCTACCTGGGCTCCAGAGGGATCTGACCTTACCCTCTCAACTGTCCAGAAACTCTCAGGGGGTCTCACTGCTACTGACCCTGTCTAGCAAAAGCAGCCTCCTAGGTAAGGAAGCTGCAGGAGTGGCCTGAGGCCGGCTGCGACAGCTGGCGTCCCAGGCGGAATGTGCGATTTGCGCCCTCACCTGCAGGGATGTCAATGCATTGATGTCATCGGTGGGCACCCCGGGTGCCCCCATGATGTCATCATCGGGCGCCCCGGGTGGCAGCCGAGTCTGCCTATAGCCACAGGCTGCCCCTGGGTAGCTGCTTTCCATTGCCTCAGGAATGTGAGAAATGTTGGTGGGTAAATCCTGGAACACCAGCTTAGGTTCTTTATCTGAGATGCCATCCTAGAAGCAGAGACAGAGCTTCTCAGGCAAGTAAATGATGGTTTTCTAAGATGGAATAACATGGAGATAGGTGGCACTTTAAAGACTAACAATTTTATAATGGCATAAATTTGGTCTTTAAGGTGCCCCTGGACTCCTTGTTGTCTTTGCTGAAATAGACTAATATAGCTACCTCTGAAACCTGTTGTCATATGAAGGAATGATTTTCTTTGGCTTCAAATAATCCCCAGCTGACTTTTGATAGGGGGTTCAAACTGAGGCCTGACCACAGACTGATGTCACAAGCACATAGTAACAAAAATGCATATGAGTAATATGCATATGAGATCTGCTAAGGGAATGTGGTTTAGTGATTAGAACATCAGGGATCAGCATTTTTTAGTTCTATTCCCTATTTTGCCTTTGACTTGCTTTGTGAGATTTTGCTTAAATCAAGCCTTGGTTTCAAGAAACATTAAATCATTACAAAAACATCCATGGGTGCAACGTTCACAATTTTATCACAAATTCTGTGATATTTGGTATTTTATTAAATCACCAGTTCCTGGAGTCGGCATTATGGGAACATCACAGTTGACTTTTCATTGTGCCCATGTGCATGTGCATGTGCGTATGTAATTGTAGCCTGTGTGGTTCTAGAGAAAAGCTTGAACATATAATCCCTAAAGGCTCACTAAAAATAACCCAACATTTAATTAAAAATTTTCATTATTCCTAAACTTATCTCATGATACTTTGGGAGCTGACTCATTATTTCTGTATGCTGGGGCCTAATTACCGCATGTCAGCTTGACATAGGTTGACCATTAAAGTTCAGAGGAACTCTGCTCCCGTAACTGCTATTTACTTGTGGGTGCTTGGCTTCTCTGGAAAATCAATCCCTGTGTCTCAAGTTGAACAATCACAACTAAAGGTCACTTTTGAAAATGTAAGTCTTACTTCTCATTCAGATTAGATGTGCTGCCCTACGGTCACCCCATAGAGTTACATTCAAACAGCAACCAAGCTCTGTTCTATTACAAAACGTTATTGTAAGGAAAGTGTGACTCATCCAAGCATTTACAGTTCTCTGTGGTTCATGTGTTTGAACTTTGGTCTCCGAGTTGTGGTGAAAACAGTTCCAAAGTTTGACAGGGCAGTTGATCTCTGTCCTGGCACAGAACTTAGTATTGGGACCAAAAAAGGAGGCTATATGCTTCAATTGACCTAGCAGGGGCTAGTTTGCCCCAGATGCAGGTTAGAGCAGCATGTATGAGCCCAAATCATGGACCAGGACCCTGTTGTGCTAGGGCTGCTCAAACACACAATCAAAAGACAGTCCTGTTAAGATAAATGGAATCTACAACCAAAGGCCCAGTATTGGTAACATAGGCATAAACCCATGGAAACTGTGAACCTTTGAATGCTTTCTGCTTTGTTGACACATTTGGCCACCAGCTGTGGACTGAGCTCATGCTGGGAGGATGGTTCAGGCCAAGCTTGGGGACAGGGTACAGATAAGTCTCCTGCTAAGATTAGAACTCAGATTTAGTGTTAGGCTTTTTATTAGGATCAATGCTCGGGCCATACTTGCCAGGTACCCTCTAAAATCAACTGACATATAAACTGTCAAGGGTATGATGTACACAACATTGAAGTATTTCCTGATAAATGCAATTCCTATTTGTTCTTTGCTTGTAAAATACACTGTTCAGCTTGTATGTGGGCTAAAGACAAGGAGAGCTTCATATAGCTAAGCAGGACATAGGATAACTTCCACATAAATGCCTGCTCATGAAACGGTCAGGGAGAATGACTCTAGCATGCACAGAATTTGTTTTCAAAATCAACAGCCAGAGAAGATGCTTTGCTTTAGTGACACAGTAACAAGGTGTATTTGATACGATGGCTTATTTCTAAAGGTGTCTTTCTGGCATTTCTTTGTTAGCAAATGTTCCTATAATATATATATATATATATTTGTTATTAAACCTGTCCATAACCACATCAAGCTGCTCCCTGAAAAGACTAAAAGTAATCCAGGATTCCAATGAGTTTGATAGAAAACCTCTGGCGAAATCAGCAGGCAAATGCAACAGCAGCTGCAATGAGCATCCAGATATCACTGACATACAGATATCCCTGTATATCTTCTGCTAGGATAAATGCTTTGATATTCATTACTCCAAAACACTGACGCCTGCAGTCGGTCTGATTATTAAATTGGAAACCTATCTGGGCCATTGCTATTCCATTCAGATCAGCCCTTTGTTCCCAGTGTTCTATAACACAGCTCCATTGCTGTGCAAGCTACACTGAAGGGGGTTGGGGTTTGTTTCATTAGATAGGTTTATCTAAGGAATGTTAGGGTCTCTTTCAATAGTTCTTTTTTAGCAGGGGTTCTAAATCTTTTTCATGCTGAGCCCCTCCGTGTGCTATTCTTAGCTCCAGGCCCTCACCTGTGCTACAGTAAATGGTTTTCTGCATGTAGAAGCCAGGGCTGGCCTTAGGGGGTAGCAAGCAGTGCATTGCCTGGAGCCTCATGCCACAGGGGGCTCCAGTGAAGCTATGTTGCTCAGACTTTGTCTATAGCTCCAGAGGGTGAGACTCAGGGCCCTGTGCAGTGGGGCTTCATCTTTCTATCCTGAGCCCCAATCAGTCTAATCCTGGCTCTGCTTGGTGGCTCTCCAGTCTGTCCTGGACCTTTGGTTGAGAACCATTGCTCTACAGGAGATTATTTCCACTAGCTCATGAAATTGACTCCTGTTTTAATACTTGTTTCCACTCCAAGGCCTAAAAATGGGATTTCCCTGTAACTGAGTCTATAAGTTCTCATTGTGACCCTGTGCCCAGACTGTTGCTAGCCCATATTTATCCCATGCTACCCTAACCTCTGTCATAGGGGGAGGCTCCCATGGCTCAGGTTTTTTTCAATGTGCTATACAGTTCCACACAGCATCCTAGAAACATCACCAGTGAACTGTGCCCTAGGGCAATTGAAATGTTATCTTAATTAGCAAAATAACTCTTGCTTGATAACTTACCTTTACTAGATACAAAAATTAACTTACATTCCAGCAGTTGGAGAGTCTGGTGAGAAACCCTGGGTGAGACATTCTCTCATTTCATATGGAAAGAAGGATTTGTAAAACTACATACTTTGTAAGCCAAATCTTTTAGGACCTAGCTGTGCCAAAGCTGATAAGAATCTATCATCCCTTCGTGTTTATACCATGGATGGGGCAACGTGGCTACACAGCTGTTAGGTGAATGAATGATCATCAGACAAAAAAATAGCCACTGAAGTGATTAATCTATTTTTTTAAAAGCCAGTCAAAATGTGTAGGCCCCTTTGCCATATCAGAAAAGGTAGTTCCAACAGCAAATAGGTTTGATCCTGGACAAGTTGCGAAGAGAAAGAGGCGGAATTTGGAAATATTCCTCCATCTCTAGAAGTGAGAAATAAACTATCAGATGGGTGAACAAAACAGGCCTGTGTGGAGTCACTGTAAATGGGAGTTGCAAAATAAGAGACTACGTGGTAAATTAATATTTTATTGGACCAGTTTCTTTAGGCGAGAGAGACAAAGCTTTTGCACATCCACAGAGCTCGTCTTCCCATATAAAGAATAAAAGATATTACCTCACCTGCCCAGTCTCTCTAATATTCTGGGACCAATGTGACTACAACATTGCACAGAGCTAAATGCCCTGGTAGCAAGGGGCAGTTGGAGGAATAGGGTATGTTTGCTTGCTGAGGCAGTCTTCATTTGGCTTCAGTCTGGTTTCTTCAATTGCAGTCTCCTCCCACCCCAGCTGAGATTGCTGCATCCCTTGCCCCTTCCTACACTTAGTTATTGCCAAGCTCACTGAGCATGAAGGGGAGAAACATGCAAAGAGTGTCTTGTGATCATGCTGGTCTTATGACCCCTGTACCGAGCATCAGGGTTAGCCTTGAACTCAGCGTGTGGAACCGCAGTGTGGGATATATGCTGATTTGTCCTAACAACTGACTAATGGTACAATTAAGATAGTATCTTAATTGGAGACCTTATTTGTGAATTTATCATTCAACGTCCCCTCCCTGGGTAAAACATTAACTGGCTTTGGAGTGCTGGCCAACAATGGTTGGAACAAAGTTGTCCGTAGCATGGACAGAGCATCAGGAAGGTTGACCTGATTCTGAGCTTTCAGCCATTGCAGCTCCTCTGACATAAGTGGTGTTGCTCCTTGTTCTCACAGATGTGAGAGCAGAATCAGACCTGTTGTTTCTTATGTTAAATTGGTGCTTAATTTTATTTTCTGTTTAGGGAGCTACTGAGCTAGAGAAGAGCAACTGACATGAGGCCAGGAGTCTTTTTCTGCAGAAGAAAAGGATTACACGTGGTTTACAGTACTTTTCATTGGTGCATCACAACTTCATGAAGTAGGTAAATATCATTATCTCCATTATACAGATGGGAAACTGAGGTACAGATCCCAATGTCTTACAGAAGAAGGGGCAGAGCCTTGGGCGGAAGCGATGAGGCCGGGGCACCCAGCTGTCTGTGTTATCCAGAGTGCAGTGTGCCCCACCCAGCTCCCAGAGCTACATGGATTGTGCAGTACAGCTCTCCAACAGCAATTTCAAGGGCCCAGAGCTCTGGGGGTGTGTCTACACTACACTGCTCTATCGACAGAGATGTAGATTAGGCACATCGAAATTGCTAATGAGGCCAGGATTTAAATATCCCGTGCCTCATTAGCATAAACATGGCCATCACTTTTTTCAAAACGTTGTTTTTTCAAAAACAATGGCAGTCTAGATGCAGATCTGTCAAAAATAAAGCCTTTTTCGACAGATCCTGTAAACCTCGTTTTTTGAGGAATACACGATCTGTCGAAAAAGGCTTTATTTTCGATAGATCTGCGTCTAGTCTGCAGGTTTTTTTTAAAAAAACTCTGTTTAAAAAAAAAGCAGCAGCCATGTTTATGCTAATGAGGCACAGGATATTTAAATCCCGGCTTCATTAGCAATTTCAATGTTCTTGATTTGCATCCCTCTGTCGACAGAGGGATGCAGTCTAGACATAGCCTGGGTGCCATCACTGGCAGTGTCTGGGATTATAGCCATTCCCTTAATTTAACGGGTCTGTGTTGTATTGACTTAAATGGTTTTAATATTGCTGATACAATCTTATATATGCAGAATGAAAGAAGATGAACATTTTTCCTTATAGAAACAATTATTTTGGTCAAAACATTATTGGAAAACAGGTCTAATTATATTTTAGCTATTGATATTATAGCTAAGAATTTTATCAGCTGTCAATAGTTGTTTAGAAGTATTTACACTGCATGTAGGAATTATCCATAGATAATGAAGTTAAATGTTCTTTTTTACCAAAAGGAGATCACATTCACAAGGTAATCATTAACAAAGATAAAAACTACAGTTTACATCTCCTGGCACAGGGAGATAGCAGTCAATATCATTGGTACAGTATAGAACGTGATGTGCCCAGGTGCAACATAGTGATAACCGGATTGTCTTGGTTTATACAGCCTAAGGCAAACAGCTGTCATCCTGCATACAGATCTCACCTGCTTCTGGCAAACCAAGATCTGAGAACTGCCGTCTGTCCCTACCACAGAGTCACGCTAGGGTGTACTCCTGTGCTCTGTTCTTTGTCTTCCATTTTACAAAGAATGTTTGATCCAAAGCCAGAGTACAGTAGTGTAAACACTTGCAGGGCAAGCTCCCCGATGAATTCAGCAGAAAATGAGCTGACAAACAGCCTTAGATCTCAGGGAGGATCTTATTGGCAAAATTATATACTCTTCTCCTTGAATTTCAAAGTAAATCAGAAGAGGAAGGAAAGAGACTGAAATCAGCTGTGATCTGACTGCCCCCTGCCATTCATATTGGGTGAAGAAACCATTTTCTATAGAAAAACCCATCAACCAAAAAACAATCTACTGTCCACATCTGCCAAGAAAACATTTGCTGTAGAGTAAACACACTGTAGCCAGACAGGAACCCCCCCTGTAACATCCATTTTTGCTTGCCTGGAGCATGCAGGGCACACAGAGCAGTAAAAGCCTTGAACAGAAGGCCCAGATATGCAGGCTGCTGTGACCCTGAATGGCTGTAAACAGAGATATGCCAATTGCTGACCAAGAGGCTGCCAAGGAGTGCCCTTGACTGAAACCCATATTGATACGAACACACAGCTGTCTGCGGGGGGAGGAATCTCTTGCCCAGTAAAAAAAATGTCCAGTACTCACAATTTAGTTATCTCTCTTGCAAGTGTAAATTAAGTTGGAACTCCCTTGTAAGAACTGGCGTCACAAAGACAAACCAACACAATTTGGCATTTTAGATAAGAAAGAGGATACAAGCCCCTATGGGTATAAAGATGGGTCCAGCAGCACATTTACTCTGAGTGTCAATCTACCATTTATCTGCTGGTCGGGTTTGTTGTTTGACCTCCCGAGGTTCCACAGGGACGCCCACCTCGTATTCGTCTTTCCTAGGAATTGAGAGACCGGCCCTGGCTTGACCCGCTGGAGTCGAGAGGCACAGAAGGGGGTAAAAATTGTACCTGGATGTGGTCCTTTGTCTTAAGTGTACATATAGACTTAGAGCTCTTTAAAGATTAAGCTGTCACTTGGTACCATTATTTCTATTTTCTATCTTTATTTTCTTTGTAACCATTTTTAAGAGCTATATTTGCTAGCAGTTAAGAAATAGAGCAATAGCCATTGTAACCATATGATTTATAAGCTTCTTTAATAAACCTGTAACTGTTTAAGCTTTAACCTGACTCCTTCAGTTGCTGTAACAGAACCAAGCACAATTTAAAAGAACTTCAGCTGGTCATAAGGGATAGGTATAGGGAGAGCTTGGGCTTTTTGGATCGTGTCACTTCCAGAGGACAGATCCGTAGGGGCATCTCTCAGTCTTCCCTGGCTGCCCACTGCGAAGGGATCCTGTATCCTAGCAGTTGAAATCTGAGATGTAATAAGCTCTTCCTATAAACTCTGGGGCGTGTGTCAGCCTGTTGGCTGCCCTCCGTGACGGGACCCCGGTCCTAGCGGTAAAGACACAGACATTAAACTTCTCGGGGCGCCCTTCAGCTTCCTAGGCTGCCCGCTGCGATGGGACCTTGTGTCTCAGCAGTTAAAGACTTGGTTGTAACACACACACACTGCCCTGACCATCAGCTGACACACACTCCCACAGCAGAGGATTCAGAAACTATGAAGTGATGGAGAAATCAGAAGTTTGATCCAAGTCCTGCTTTCTTCCTTTGCTAACCAAGTAGGTTAAAATAAATGTAATCATACTGTACATTGAACATAAAGGGAGGAAGATACTACGAAAATTCACCAACTCATAATTAAATGTCATCATTAGCATGAAACTTAAAATACTTAGCTTACCATGGAAAAATGCACTTTACCCCAAGCAAGTGGGAGGATAGGACTTTACAAGTCTGCGTCTAGCTTATTAACTAAGTGCTATCATATATTTGCCGGCACTTTCAAACGTGGCTGTTTCAAATATCAAAACCTATATCTAAGCAGCAAAGCACACAATTGGATTGACTATTTTTGGTGTGGTCTTCCATTGAAATTATTCTCACCAAGTTTTCTAATGAACTCGTCCTGAACGAATTTCAAGGCCTGCACTCCATCCACATCAGACTTAGGGAGTCTGTCTAGTGGCACAGTTAATGGGAACCAGGGAGAGTGACTGCCTCTTTGGTAGCCATTAGGAGTGTAGATGAATAGCTCCCTTTGGGGGATGGAGAGTAACTGGCAGCAGCAGCATCTCCTGTTCTGTTTGCTGGGCCTGGGCATTGCGATATGGTATATGTGGTAACACTGGCCTGACCACCCCTCAGTCATGATGAAGAAGCAGACAGCCCAAACTGGGGAGGTGCTGTGCTCTCATGTGCCCTGTGTCAGTGTGTGAAGTGGGGAGCTGGGCTCAGCCATCTGGAACATTGGAGCCCCCCCATGCTGGGTGAGTGCAGGGTGGGGTCACTCTCCAGCCTATGACTAATTGCAAACATGGCTCCGTCACCTCATTTCTGTGCTGATCCTCACATTGCCAGTCATTGGAAATGTAGGGCTAAAAGGGACCTTGAGTGTAAGGATAAGGCCTTTCTTTGTAGCCGTATTGTAAGGCCTAAAGCCTATGTCCTCTCTTTGCAGCCAGACTGAAAGAGCAGCAGCCATTATCTAAGAAGCAGGAAGTCACGTCCTCTCCTCACATTTCATCTTAATCACATTAAAAGAGTGTAATTCCAGACTGCTGAGACGGGGACTCTGGCACCCCGTATCACCAGATAAAGAAACAGATCTTAAGATGGTTAAAGAAAACTTAGTTTGATAGCATTTCATCTGGCAAGAAACTACATACCCGTACGTGAGGTTGTGAAATCCTCATTTCTTTATGGTTCTATCCTGATGGTCCCCACTTGCCTATTGTTTGTCTGTATGAACTTTGTCTGGTTTTTAATTGTTTCTCTCTGTTCTATAATTAATTTTCCTGGGTGTGAATTGATGAAGGTGGTGGGATATAATTGATTAGATAATTCTGTTACAGCCGTGGTCCCCAACACGGTGCCCGCGGGCGCCATGGCGCCCGCGGGGGCATTTGAATGCGCCCGCCAGGTGCTCGGGGCTGGCCTGGCCCCGGGCACATGACGCATGGTGAGCGCCGGCCCCAGGCTCGCGGTGCTTGGGGGGGAGGGAGCACTGGGCGCGCGGCGCTTGGAAGGGG